ATCACATGTCCTTCTTCCCTTTCTATACGCCAAACCATTTTTGTAACACAGACAATCAATCACCTACCCAAAAAATAATACAGTAAAAGAGTAGAATTCAGATGAACTTGACCTATCCATGTCTCAACGTGTAATTATATAATTTCTTACTGGACAGGACAAGATGGTAGTATATTTTTAACCCTTTATTTGTGCTTCAAGCTTTCCTTCTCTCGTCTCATTTCAGTCATCTTGTCGGCTCCTTCTCTCCTAAGTTGAAAAATGACAACTCATCTCTCTCTCTCTCTCTCTCTCTCTCTCTACATACATATATGTATAGTTTTTGTGTGTATATATATATATATATGAAGGGTATATAGGTGCAGATCATGCAGGCAACACATGCCAGAGCAGTTTGTATAGCATGCAACCATACTAAAAACTGCGAATACACAGTAAAATGCTGTAGTAAAAAATTAAATGATTTAATTTAAGAGTTATAATATACAGTCGGAATTCGGATGAGTATAAAAAAATAAAAAAAATTATGTAAGTAGCCATATGTAACTAAATTCCGGACTAGTCCAAATTAGATCATAAATTATTATGCTTAATTCAAATATTATGTAACAATTCAGATTCAAATTAATCTGTATTTTAATGATAGAATCCACTTATAAGTCTAATATAAATAATACTTGATCTAGGTTGAATCTTGGGCAAAATTCAATTCATTTGTATTATCCATATTTACATGAATTTAATACGGATGACTTGAAATCAAATTGTGGGTCAAAATCTGCTATATTTGAAGCCCCAATTATGGACCATCTGAGGATTCATGTCCTTTGTTTTGCCCAATTTCAAGATTTATATATATATATATACACACACACACACACACACACAATGTGCCATTGTATGTATGGCAACTGGCATGTTTGACTTAAAGCAAAAAGGACCATGTATTTTTGCACACACGTGTGATTTGATTTGGCTTCAGGCTACTTGCATTAGTGGGACTGACTTGAATTTTTTTTTTTTTTGGAAAGCAAAAATTTCTAAGAACAAATGATGGCTAATGGTTGGCTTTGCTTATTTTAACATGAAAATTAATATTGCACTAAGACAAATAAAAAAATAAAAGTATAGTTTCGATGCAATAATCAACATTAAAATGGCATGTCACAATTTTAAAAAATAAAAATTGTAGTAACAAAATTTAGAAACAGAAAATATGAACAGAAAATTAAAGGAAATCTTGTTAAAAGTATTAATTCAAAGGAAGAGTTAAAATGTGTATCAGAAAAAAAATAAATAAATAAAAATAAAAATAAAAATGAGGAAGAGTTAAAAGATTTTTAAGTTTAGCAGTTAGAGTAGCCAAGTACCCAAATGGGCTTATTATAGATCATCCAACTGTCTAGGCACCGTCCACTCAACAAAGTTCCACACTAATCTGCCTTTATGGGCCTTTTGTGTAGAAGGGGCTCGCTATTGGACCGGTCCTCTAAATTCTCACACATTCTTGATCCATCATTTTAATAACCATTTGCCTAATTAACGAGAAGCCCACTTCTTCATTACTGTTTCTTAATTTTAAGTTTGAAAAATGATTTCCAAAGTGATTAGTCAGTCCACTTATAACCTTCATACGAAGTAAAATAAGCCTCTAGATGGATCCACTTTAAGTTTAAGACCTTAATAATTTTATTTTATTTTATTTTTTTACCAGACCTTAACAATTACTTAGGTCAGATTATTGGCCTCACTTTGAATAACATTGCTCTTTTTAGTTTTAGCATCCAAATTCTAATAATATACAATGAAGTAAATTAAATTTGAATTTCTAAGCCAACTAAATGGCCCCAAGGGATTATTAAACTGCCCTTCTAAGTCCTAACATGACATATATATATATATATATATATATATATATATATATATATATATATATATGTCATGTTAGGACTTAGAAGGGCAGTTTAATAATCCCTTGGGGCCATTATATATATATATATATATGTTAAGCCAAGAATGTTAGGGGGTTTGCTGGCTCAAACACGGTTGGAGTACTCAATTCACTCAAACAACACGTAATGATAAATAAAACAGAGAAATTACAAAAAAAAAAAAAAAAAAAAAAAAAAAAAAAAAAAAAAAAAGAAGAAGAAGAAGAAGAAGAAGAAGAAGAAAAAGAATTGGCAATCACCAGTCATTAATGATTATAATGAGAAGAATATATAATTACCTAACAATCCAAGACAATCATCATTCTGTTTTAGTAATATAACAGATGATAAGGATAAAAATAATAGGCAGCTCAAAGTCAAAAGAGAAATAAGATAAGGGTAAGGGATTTATCTTACCCAAAATCTCTATGGAATCATAATACCACATGTAACCAGAGTTACCATTCCTCTAAGAAGGGAACGATCAGGGAGAATCTCGCTTGAAAAACTATTACCATTAATGCTTCTATAAAAAAAAGGATCAGTCAACCTAAAAAGGTACGCCATAAATTTCATATTGAATCCTTATCAGATATTTAATCGTCGAGTACTAACTTGACCGTCGGAGTGCACCCGGCCGGTACCACGCCGGTCATCACTTCTCTTGTCTTGCAGGAATTGTCACAAACTCCGGAGCGTGTAGATTTTTGGCATCAACAGTTGGCACCGTCTGTGGGAACGTATATTAGTCCCAACAAATTATGGTTCGTACAAGGGAAATCTACGACAAAACTTAAAAGCAATTCAGTCCCTTTACAATCTGGCTTTCTCTAAAAGAAAGAGAACAGTTCATAGATTGCATGGCCAAAAGTAAGGGTACAGTTGCTCAATCCGATAAAATTGTTAGAAAGTCCCGCCCGACCGCTAGCAGTTGTTTCATCATCGCTGTTAACCGGGTAAGTTTCATGCATTACGCGTATATCAAAATATATGTGTACACTTCCTCACATGATTTAAAGAGAAACAATTTTTTATGTGTTTCCAATTGTCTGCAAAATATTGTTGTTCACCTACATAATGATGTAGTTCACCTGGGGACCCTCCGATAAAATACTACGCTTTGAGGGTATTGTTCACAAAAAAAGAAAAAAAAAATTTGTGGGTACTGTTCACAGGGTGTAGAAAAAAAAAATTATTTTGTGAGTACTATTCACATGAATAGTACCCGCGGGTACTGTTCACAGGGTGTAGAAAAAAAAATTATTTTGTAAGTACTATGCACATGAATAGTACCCGCGGGTACTGTTCACAGGGTTTAAAAAAAAAAAAAGTTTCTTATTCTAGAGAACAATCGTTAGCTCCATTGATTATTTTGGTCCTATGATGCTCAATGATAAGTTTTTGTCTTAATTGTACCTATTCTGATATATATAAATATGTATATATATTATCCGTTCAAACTGGACATCTGTTCTTTTATTTTTGCTTTGCTAACTTTGCAAATAGAAAGAGAACATTAGTGTTCCTTGTACGTGAGAGGCAAGCTTGGGAATGGGGGCAGAAAGTTAACCTCTCTTATTAAAGATACGAGCTCACGAAACTCTGGAAAATCAGTTACTCACGAGGATGAACCTCCCATATTAAAATGATAAGTTCATGAAACTCGTAATTGTCATTCCCCGTATTATAAGGGATTCATATAAAAGCGCCCCGTACTATAAGGGCTCGAACTGAATAAAGCTTCTAATTGTTATCCTCCGTATTAAAATGGGTCAAAATCAACTTGTAAAATATACTTCCCTTTTTAAAGGGCGAGCTGAGTGAAGCTCGCAAAATATATTTTCCTTTTTAAAGGGTGAGTTGAATGAAACTCGTAATTACCATCCCCATATTATAAGGGATTGATATAAAAGTGCCCCGTACTATAAGGGCCCGAGCTGAATAAAGCTTGTAATTGTTGTCCTCCGTATTAAAAGGGGTCGAAATCAACTTGTAAAATATACTTCCCTTTTTAAAGGGCGAGCTAAGTGAAGCTCGCAAAATATATTTTCCTTTTTAAAGGGCGAGTTGAATGAAACTCGTAATTACCATCCCCGTATTATAAGGGATTGATATAAAAGTGCCCCGTACTATAAGGGCCCGAGCTGAATAAAGCTCGTAATTGTTGTTCTCCGTATTAAAAGGGGTTGAAATTAACTTGTAAAATATACTTCCCTTTTTAAAGGGCGAGCTGAGTGAAACTCGTAAAATATATTTTCCTTTTTAAAGGACGAGTTGAGTAAAGCTCGTAAATATACTTCTTTTTTTTAAAAGGTAAGCTCATTCAGCTTAAAGAAAGCCTACTCCCTCAACTCATGAAATTCGGACAAATCTTAAGAGATCAACCAAAAAAGGTCGCCCAACAAGGGTTAACCTAAAAAAGAGATTGATTTATACCAAAAAGACGTCACTCAAAAAAACACTTTTGACATTCTCGATACTTGACAAGCAAGCACGAGAATGGGGGGCAACTGATAAGGATAAAAATAATAGGCAGCTCAAAGTCAAAAGAGAAATAAGATAAGGGTAAGGGATTTATCTTACCCAAAATCTCCATGGAATCATAATAGCACATGTAACCAAAGTTACCATTCCTGTAAGAAGGGAACGATATCATCTTAGATCAGGGAGAATCTCACTTGAAAAACTACTACCATTAATGCTTCTATAAAAGAAAGGATCAGTCAATCTAAAAAGGTACGCCATAACATATTGAATCCTTATCGGATATTTAATCGTCGAGTACTAACTTGACCGTCGGAGTGCACCCGACCGGCACCACGCCGGTCATCACTTCTCTTGTCTTGCAGGAATTGTCACAGACTCCGGAGCGTGTAGATTTTTGGCATCAACAACAGAAAAACTACAAATCCTTAACATTAACTAGCAATATTCAAAACAACCCACTAATTCCATGTTACATATGAATTTTAGTCTCATTACCTAGCAGCAATGAAATTACGTATTTACTAAATCTAATTTGAGACATTAAATTTCTCTCACAATAGATACAATATGCTAATATCATATCTACCATACGCACTGGATTCTAGATAGAATATCACTAATGAGAATCTGAGACATGTGCCTATAAGCCTCCTGTGTTAGATGCACACCATCCCAATGTATATGTTCAGCAGGATTAGGGCAAACCGGCACGCCGGGAGTACCACACATCCTACTCCCATCATAGTTATACAATCCTCCAACTCCACAGCAAGCTCTCAACAATGATCTCCGATCAAATCCCAGATACGGCGCGCGGCGAAGAACGGACTGGAAGGCCGAGTAATAGTCAGCATAGAGTATGACAACATTAGGAAATTCAGTCCTAAGCAAGGCCAGAGCATGCTGAAGATAGTTATTGTGAAACAAGGCAAACTCATTTAGGCCACTCAAGCAACCCATGTCATCATAAGCTCTAGGGTCACTACTCGGAAAAGATGACAAGTATATGGGAATGCAACCGACCGGGAAGTTTCCCGGGACCACAACCCGTACGGCACCGAGGCGTATCACTTCTCTGACCGAGTTGACGATGGTGCCCACCACGTGTGGCACGTAGGTTCGAATCTCGTGAATGGGTTTGTTTTGGAAGAATGCATAGTTATAGTCATTGCCACCTATCTCACCCATTAGGATTAGTGACCTCCTAAGCCTTGCTGCGCATTCTTGTGGTGTGTGACACAGAGAATTGAGATGGGTTCTGAACCAGTTTAGCTGAAGACTCAGTGGACTATCCGAAGTTGGAGTGTGGATGTTTCTGGTGGCGAAGAAAGCACCGTCGAGGGCTGTGCTTCCTGCTACTGCAAAGTTGACACCGTGACTGAATGATGCGTTTAGGGTTTTTTCAAGATAAGGATTGAGCAGTGGTAGGTGGAGTGCGGTGGCGATGTAGTCTATCATGAGGAGGCCGTCGGAGCAGCGGCCGGTGGGTCCGTGGTAGGCTTGGCCGTAAGGAGGACGGGCAGCATAGGATCTTGCGGCCACGGGGCCTTTGCGGATGAGGTTGCCGGTGTCGGAGATTGAATCGCCGAACTGGTATATGGATTGGAAGGGACATATGGTGTGTTGGGCAGCACAAGTGAACAGGAAGAGAGAGAGAGTTATGAGGAAGAGGACGTATCTTGAAGAAGCCATGGTTGGGAGGTGAACAGTGATGTTTGATGTTGAAGGTAGGCGGAGTTGTTTATATATAGGTGTTTGTAAGGTTGACTCTTGGGCGGAGTTTAGATATATAAGTGTTAATTTGTAAAGTTGACTCTTATCAGAAAAAGGAATTTAGGAAACCTAGTGTAACTTTGACATTATTAGATGGTATTATACGGGCAAGTGGATAACTGTTACAAGTGGACCTGTTAATACATCGGATTCTGATTCGAATTTGATCCGATTATTCGGATATATATGGATTGAACAAAAAATTCGATAATCCGATTACGATTCGAATCCAAATCCCATACCTTAACAAATTGAATATGAATTTATGTTAATCCGATCCGATAATGATCTGATCTGATTAAAATAATATATAATTATATTATATATATATATATATATATATATCATATATATACACCATCATATTTGTACCACTGTAATCACAACCTTATTGTACAACAAGGCCGGTGTTCTAATAAATCTCCATGCACAACCTATGTGTTAATAACTCCAGTATACTTTAGAAAACGCAGGTGATCGAAGGGGGAGACTTTGATCGACAGCAAGAAGGGGAATTGACAGCAAGAAGGGGAAAGGGAACACAACGATCGACTGGCGAAACCTTTCGGAGTATTCTTACTACTTATTCTTTCTTATTTTTCTTCTATTTTCCTATTATTTTATCTATTACAAACCCTACGAAACATCCGGTATGTTACAATAAGTACTTGGTACGGTAGTCGATTTCCACCTATTAATTTTAAGATTTAGTGGGTCAAAACGTTATGTTGTTCAGATTTGGTTAGTGTAGATTAAAATTGTACTAAAGATATAAATAAAAGGGCGAATTGCAAAAAAAACCCCTCAACTTTCAGCCATTTGCAAAAAATCCCCCTTATGAATATTTTTAGCAAAAAATCTCCCTCAACTATCTCGAGGGGGTGACTTTAACTTACGTCCGTTTAGTAAACACACACTATTACCAAATTACCCATGCTTTTTTATTTTTTTTTGGTGATTGCCGAAAACGAATTTTATTTTCATTTGTTTACGTTTGGACTCAATCTTTACAAAAGATTTATACCAAGCGAATCAACCAAAATTGGCATTGAATATGTTTTTACACCAAGTGAATCATCCACAACTCTCAGTATCATTCGTCTTTCTCATGCAATTTACTTGCTCGCATTAATAGCTATACAAAGATCAGACACGTTTGGACTGAAATTCGAAGATTTACAGTTTGGGGTTTTAAACCCTAAATTTTTTTTTTTTTTATGGTGGTGGTTGTCCATTTTGAGAAGAACACAACAAAATCATTACATACTTTTAGTGGGATTACTATAATTATTTAACTTTTATGCAAGCTCGTATAAAATACCCTTCTATACATAAACATATAATATTACTAATTTAAGATGATATTAGGGAAAAAATATCATATGGATATGATAGGATAAAAAATACAATAAACTTTCACTTATAATATGTTTTCATATTGATAGGATAAAAGTAAATAAAACAAATTTGATTTAATTTTCATACACGTATATAGTATTATAGTATATATGATTCAATTATAATATTGAAACACTCTTTACATTAAACAGCGCACCTGCATAAAAATATATGATTCAATTATAATATTGAAACGCTTTTGTATGAATAAAACAGTATGAAGAATTTGCTGACGTGGTGAGAGAGTAAATAATAATAAAAAGCCCTTTACTATTAAGGGACAATTTCGTCCAAAAAAATGGCTCAACAAATTATTTAAACAGACACCAATTAAAGTCTCCTCCTCAAGATAGTTGAAGGGGATTTTTTGTTAAAAATATTCACAAGGGGTGTTTTTTGCAAACGGGTGAAAGTAAAGAGGGGTTTTTTGCCATTCGCCCTAAATAAAAACACAAAATTACTGATAAAGTTTTTTATTAGAGCATCTCCAATACCCTTTAAAGGGCTTCTTAAAGTCAAAATATAGTAGGTGGATGAAAATAATACACTCTAATGGGCTCTCAAAAGACCTCTCATATTTTGAGATTGTCAACAGTATTGCCATATATAGTAACTCTAAAAAAATTTTAAGAAGTTTCTTTTTTCTCATACGGTGCCGTTTCTCAAAATATAGCAGGTGGATGAAAATAATAGACTCCAAATAGCATTTTGGCTCCAAACAGCATTTTGGAAGAAATGCACCATTCGAACAGAATTGCAAAAATATAGTATTTTAACACTGTAGTTCCTCTCAAAATATAGCTTTGTCATGGAAAAATAGCATTTTGCATTGGAGATACTCTTAACTAGGTCTAAATCTGTTAAAATTTCAAATTTACCTTTATAAATTGGAATAATAAATGGGAGGCGATATCTATCCATACTCCCCTTTCCTATGGTTACACTCCCATTTTAAAAATAAATGACACTTCTAACTCTTACTTTACACACAAATAATTATTTTTTTCCAAATTACACAATTATATTGCCAATGCATATGTGCAACTAAACTAAGTCAACTTGATCAAGTGACTCAGAATGGGGACATCGATGAGACCGTTGGCGGATTCAGGGGTGGGCTTGGGTGGGCTTATAAAAATAAATAAATAAATTTACTATACCTAATTTTAGCTCAACCCCCAAAAAAATAAAATTTGTTATTATTATTATTAATCCACCCAAAGAAATATTAGTTCACTCCTGGATTTGCCCTTAAATGAGACCCGTTCACAAACAATAATTTTCAATTTATTATAATTTGTTGGAAACACGTCACCTTCATTTCTATTATACCACTTCGTATTTACTAATGAGACCTGCCGCAACATCTTGATTTCACGTACTCATTTTCAATCAACAATCGAAGTCCAACCAATACTGTTGTAACAAATATCTACTTATAATGAGGCAAACCCATCTAAACTCCGTCGCACCCACCACGCCACATGGCAGCTTTTCCGTCTAATTCAAAAGGTAGAACTGTTGGTAGTACTACTAGTACGCCATAGCGTACGTGTATATTTCAATTTTCAAGACAAAAGACCACTAACATTCTAAACTACTCAATTAGGATGGTCAGCAATAGATCAAATTAGATTTTAAACTAAAAATAGAAATTAAATCAATTGGGAGTCTTTGGAGTGGAGTGGATGTTGCTGCCATGATGACACAACAATCTTCAAATTGATAATAAAATAAAGAGTAATGATAGTTACACTCAAGTCATGCATCGATTTGTTAGGTAGAATGATATGGCAGTTCAGCTGGCAGAGAACGTCATTTAAAGTAATTTTTTACTAATCTAATTATTCACTTTTATTGTTTACCATCCCATTCCTAATTTCAAAAACCTCTTTGTCGTCCCCAATTTCTCAAACGAAGATTGCGTTTTTTTTTTCTTAATCCACGCGATCGGCAACAACTCCAAATGTTTTGACGATCTATAACAAGTTTTTGACGATTTGGGAGTATCACTGTAACACCCGTGATTTTTTATATATTTTATGGTTAAGTGGTTTAACCGATTTATTTGGTACTTTAGGTTAATGGAGAGTTAAATATATAGGTACACGGATTTACCATAGGTACGTGGAGTTACCATATGGTGGTGATAAGATGAGTAGTTTCGGATTTAAGTTTTAAATGTCGATTAGGATATGCGATATGTGTTGCATCACGTTACGGGATTGTCTACTACTAAAGGAGGTATCTATTCCTCTAACAGAAAGATTTTATTTAGATTTAAAACCAGATTTAGTTGGGAATGGAAAAGTGTTTTTCCATAATTACAAATGATAATTGTAGAGACGAATTTATAAGGTTTTATGATCAGACAGAATTACGAGGAAGAGTGATTATGTTAGATCAGGGAATTATCATCACGTGAATAAGGCAAGTTTAATCTTACCTTCTTCTATATATATGATTGAGTATAGTGCATTGTATTATTAAGAGTAATTAAATATTGGGTGATTACATATTTTTATAATTATTATCTGAATGTTTAGAATCATTTTATTACGTAAATGAATAAGTTTGATTTGTTTTTGGTGTTGATACATATTATCAATATGTGGGTGTATTGGTTTTGTTGTTAAATCAATTTGAGATTTTTAGATACCGGAAATTGAGGCTCGAACTAGATTTTAAAGAGAATTGGAATCGCAGTTGAAATGATCCATTTAGTATTGTCTATAAGTAAACATGTGTATTGATTCAGTTTTGTGGTTGCACGAGTTCATCTCATTCTATAAATAACTACCATTTGGGTTTGTATCTATACAAGGGTTGGAATATATTTTTTGCCTATTTTGGGAATCATGTGTCAGAGTTGATGGGTTCCCCACATAATTTGTTGAAAAGTTTGAATTCGTTCCTTACCTATGTATTTATATTTGGATTCGTTCCATAATATGTATTTGGATTTGTTCCTTACTATGTAGTGGCATGTGATTCTTAATTATGAGGTTTAATATGTATTCACCTAAGTTGGAAATGTGATCATTTATCTGAGAAGATTTTGTGGAAGTTACATTTAGCATATTATAATTACCTAGGGTACAGTAGCTGTCTAGTTAGAGGCTGCACTTTTTTTGGTTAGTTCTGTTTTATTAAGTATTATGTGATGTATAGTGGTATTTGGAAGTATGGTAAGGTTATTGCTTGCTGAGCAGGGATCTTGCTGAGCTTGTGAGCTCACCCTATTTTAACATTTTAGGTCCTTGGTGGTTGTAGAGTTGGCGTTGAGGACCAGAGCAATTCAGAGTTTCTATTTTTCTTAGTGGTAGAGAGATTTTTATTTTGAGAATTTTATGTAACTTCATGTTGATTTAGTAATGTATTTTGGAATGATTTTTAGTTCACAACCATTTTGAGTATTGTTATCAAATGTATTTGTATTCGAATTTTTAGTTCAATCTCCTTGTATATGTATACGTTGTTGCAAATTTTTTTTTTTTTTTTTTAAGAGTTCAACACCAATG